TTTGGCCATCTGAACAGGTTCGTCTGCCAGAGGAACAATTTGGATCCAACAGTTCTTTTGAGTTTTGTACCTGAGACACGGCTAAAATTTTGAAGATCTCTGTTTGTGTTTATCTGGCTGTTTATGTACGTAAGTCTCTCTACGTATTTGTCTGCCTGTGGATGGTATAATTTCTAGAGGAGCTCTATTTAATTGGCTTGAAGTAAGTACTTATATAAATTATTTCTAAATGTAATAGAAACTAGCCCAGATGTCTTTCAAGTGAACATGATAGAAAATGATCTTTGTTAAACAGGAGCTTGTTTAAGTTCATTGGCTTAATTGAAATAAACATGTTTTCCGAGTCATCAAGATTGGATATGATACATACATATTATCTCTGTTACAAAATTTGCCAGCAAAAAGTAATAACTTAGAATAATAGCTGATTTTGTTTAATGTCTCATGAGGGTTTTGTAGGCAATCTAAATGTAATTGTTGAGAACAGGTAAACTAAATAGATATAAAAAGGATGAAAGTTTTGGGGGGAACATTTTAACAATAATTATGTGTCATGGTGTATATACTTAAAACAACTTAAGATGATGTCTAACTGCTTTAATGTCACATGAAGTTTTTGTGAGTATTCTAAACCTAGTTGTTGGGAACAAATAATTTAGATAGATGAAAATGGGTAAAAGTTTTTGAGTGCAATCATTATGTTTTATGGTCTGTATAATTGAAAAACAGCTTCTAAAATCTTTTTTGGTAACTTGGTACTTTAGAGTTTTGCTAAATGAAGTTAAATGATAGAAGTTTGTTCAGTATCTATGTCATTTCCACATTAGATAAATATTAGAAATTGATTACTGAGCATAGATTTTTCTGCCTTTGGTTTCTTATCTCAGAGAAAATGAAAGATGCTTAGGTTTAATGATAACCATGTTTTGGGTATGCTGGGGAATTTTCTATGAGAAAGTACATGTTTCTGTATACAAGGAAAGTCAAATGTATGTTTTCAGTAAAGAAGGTATAAGAATAGAAATGTTTTTGTTTGTTTTGTTAAGAAAAATAGATTTGTCCTAAAGTACTAGGAAAGGAAAAAGGAAAGAAAACATGGGACAAATTCTGAATCTAAAGAGTAAGTGACAGGGGCCGGCCCTGTGGCTTAGCGGTTAAGTGCACACACTCCACTGCTGGCGGCCCGGGTTCAGATCCCGGGCGCGCACCGACGCACTGCTTCTCTGGCCATGCTGAGGCCGCGTCCCACATACAGCAACTAGAAGGATGTGCAGCTATGACATACAACTATCTACTGGGGCTTTGGGGGAAAATATAAATAAATAAAATTAAAAAAAAAAAGTAAGTGACAGAAGGTTTGTGGAAGTAAAACCATGAGGAGTTTTGTGCATAGACAAGTTTGCTGAGATTAAAATGAATTTAATTAGGTGAATGAGTTTCAATATCAAGGGTAAGCTGGTGCAAAATCAGAATTTGGCTTTCTCTCAAAAGGATGATTTTTTTTGAATTTTTGGACTGCTCTTGATAAGGAGACTATAAAGGATTTTTCTCTGCCTTTGAGTAAGTCTACCTAGGGGACAAAGAGTCTATGTTTTGTTAAAATATTTCCTATATTCAAAAGGACTAAGATCTCTCTATTAAGGTGTTTTTACTAAAACTGTTCAAACTCTCTCTGTTTGCCTTTGATATGTTCTGTTGTCACTTTGACTGGATAACCAAGCATTGTTTGCTATTTGACCAGGTGTTTTAAACGCTTTTGATAATTTTGACAATCTTGCCCCAAGATTCAATCCTGGGTAAAGTCTTTCTTTTGACTCAAAATGCAACTTTGAGAATTTCCATTGGGCCCTGGGATTTCTCAAAGAATTTGTTCTCTCTTTCTATAGAGATAAAAACTAATTAGACTTATTTGGTATGTTAAATTACACGAGAAGCATTGTCAAATAAATGATGATAAACCAACCTAGGTTATATTGTGTGGGTAAATGTTATTAATATAAGTGCTTTAAAAATTATATAACATTCCTAAAATTCTGACCTGTCTCGGTTATCAATCATAATTCTGGTTATTATTTCAAAGTGTTATATGTCTTGCAAATGGTCAAGTGTTTTTGTCAATTGCCATTTTTGAATGTTTTGTTATTTGCAGACAGTTGTTTTACTCTGATGTTTTTGCATATGTGTTTCATCTTTAGAAAGATTCACAGAAAGGACTCTGACACTTGCTCTAGAATGCAAGTTTCTGATAAACTTTCAGATTGTAAAACTGAGCTGATAAGAAATTACAGAACTCTAATCAAGAAACAAATGGCCTCATAAAACTGCTAACAGAAGATCAAGATCAAGAATTAATTATATGAGATGGAATAAATTGATGAGGATGTTTATAATTTTTATGACTTTTCATTTGAAGTATTGGTGACTTTCTTAATGTTTTGTTTTTCCTGATTTAAGGGAAACTTTTTCTCTTTTCTCTTAAGAAACTATGATTGATAGCAATTTGCAAGCAGAATTGAAGCATATATTTTTTTCTCCCTATCTGATCCCTCCAGAATTTGAAAACTCTTGATGAGTGAGTATTCTTATTTTCATGGCAATGTTGTTATTTGTATAGGTTCAATAAGAATCTTTTCTCCTTAGAGTAGGACACAATTGGAAACACAAGTTATACTGCCCAGGCTTTGACTAGAATGTCATATTTGAGTGAAACATACATAAACTCAGATATGACCCAACAGCTTTAAGGGACAAGGATTGACTTTATGGAACCAATAAAACCACTTGGAAATATTGGCCTGGTACCTTGCTTACAGGGTTCCCAGCAACCTTACCAGGTGAGTACAGAAGGTCACTTCCCTGGCAGGTGCAAGAACCTCGGATATTTTGGGGACCTTGAAAAGAGAGGAAATCACCCAAGTCTGTAGGCATTGCAGGCAGAGTCTGATGACAAGTCCTTGGCTTGGCTTTCCTGGCCTCAGGAGGCCTTTAAAGTTCAATCTGAGATTCCTTATGAAAAGTTCCAGCAGGGCAGATTTAAAAGAGCCTATATGATCAATTGCAATTCTTTCTGTACTTATGTCAATAATTGGTCCAAGCTTATTGAAACTGGACTTATTTTGAGAGCCAATGAGTCTTAATTAGGATATCTTTTACAAAAATGAGAGTGATTTTAGAGACAAAAATTATGTGTCAATAGAAACTATAATACACATTTATGGATGTTGGATTCTGGTTCTGTTAATTGTCTGTGAGGTTTCTGTTTTCTCTCTGCAAGCTGCAGCTGGACAACGTGATGTAAACTTAAGAGAGAACACCATGATGGCCCATGTCAGACATTCTTCACACCTGTTGCTGTATAGGCCACTCAAAATGTTTACCTGAGCACCTGATGACATCATCAGAGACATTTCTAACTGCAAGGGATACTTCAAACCTGACGTATAGAAATCTTCTTGACTGGACATCCCCTGGGCTCGGGAATTGGTTTGTAATTTGCTCCAACCATTCACCTTGTTTTCTTTCTGTTTCTCTGGAAATGTTTCTTGTTAAATAGCTGGTTACCTGCTTACACCATATAGGCTGAACTTTGGGAGACCCTTCCTATGTTCTAGAGATGATCCAAAAGACCCAGAGAGAACTCTAATTACTAGATACTGTCAGATGTTCCTCTGCACCATCCTTGTCATGGAGACTGAATCCTATTAAAATCCTGGAAACACAAGCACCCAGAAGATCAATTTCATCCCTGCTGGATGGGACAATACAAGAAATGCCACAGTGAACAGGAACCATGCCACAGAAGAACATCAAAACCAGGATCACCCAAACCTTGGCTGGCTTCATACTCTAGACACTGACTTCTCCAAATGGACCAGTGAACCTCTGATAGACCTCAAGTTGCCTTACAGAAGACAGTCTCCTAAAGATAAGTGATGAATGACTAACAGGTCCTTACTGTAATTGTTGGGCTATTTGACAGCAAGCTATTTGGCTACATCAAATTTCACTTGAGGTTCCAGGCCCTAACATTGATTGATTTAGACGCCTGTTCTCCTGGATTCCCCAGGGATTAAGGTCCATTATAGAAGGCGTACTAAAATTTGGGCAGTGTATTTTGCTAATGTGTGTCATTGTCTATATAATGACAAAATGTGAACTTAAGTGTTATTCCAAAGCCATTGATCATAGTACTAAGATATTAGTCAGGCAGAACATACCTTGCTCTCAGCCACCCGGTACCAGAGAATAAATTTAAAATAAAGGTAGAACAATTTCACTCCTCTGACCTCAAACCTTGCCCTTTCACAGCAGGAAGCAGCTAGAACAGTCTTTTCCCCCAATCCCCAGATCGAGGAAAGATCAAATGAGAGGGGGGATTGAAAATGAGGATGAAGGAGTTAAAATTTCCCCAGATTAGAGTGAAACTGTGCCTTGTACCCACAGGGTTATGTGGGAAACAAAATAACCAAAGTTTCTGAGTTTGCCTTGCAGAACAGGAGGTGGCCCGCTGATAAGAGAGGAACTTGGTAATGGCCCCCTGCCTGACTAAGCATCTTGCAGGAACATTGAGAAGCTGAAATGATTGATTGTAACCTTTAGACGTCAAAGACTGAAAATCCACCACATGCAACACGTAGAACAGACAGTCACCCCTTGCACCCTTGCAGAGGACTCTTAAAACTTCAGCCCCCAAGGCCACATGCTTCCCTTCCGCTACCCAAAACCCAAAATAAAAACCCTTGCTTGTAGCTTTTGGGGGAGTTCAGGATTATAATGTGAGCTGCCCATTCTCCTTGCTCAGTGCATTGCAATAAAATTCCTACTTTCTTCTGCTACACCCATTGTCCGAGATTGGTTTGCTGGGCAACGGTGAGCGAACTCACTCAACATGACCAGGGAGCCACCTGAACAAATGCTGCCCCAGCATCCAGGTGACCTCCTCCCTGTTCCCACCTTTCCTCTCCTCTCCCCTCCTCCACCAACCAAGAACCACGTATGCATAAGAATATAGAATTTTATCTTAGTTTAGTTAACAAAACTAATCGTACAACTGAATGAAGAAGTAGCTTTTTTCTTTGGTCAGAAGAGAGGGAAAAAATAAAAAGCAATACGCCCAAAGAGAAAGAACTTCTAGGATGGTAGTGGTTCTGATGCTCTTCCCTTGAGGGAGTATTGAAAGGCAATGCTTAACCTAACATGCCGTGGTAATGATGGTGGCATCTCAGGCATTGGGTGGCATGTGGTGATGGCATTTCTCAGGAAAAACACTTGAAGGATGCAGAGCTCCCTGTGAGGAAGCCACAGGCAGATAGCACCCTGGCTGCTGTAGTACCAGCCCTGTCCACCTGGGGACAGCGATGCCCAGCCTAATCCCAAATTCCCACCTGCACCCCACTCAGGTTGCACCCAGGAGACAGGGACCACTTACCTGGAATCCACAGGGCTGGGAAGACCTTGAGACCCTAGCCCACCCTCGCATCAAACAGATGGGGAGACTGATCCCCAGTGGCATTCTGATCTGTCAAAATCTACACAAGGAGCACCCCTCTCTTTCTTTATCACCCCACCACCCCATCCTGTGTGTGGTGGGGGAGGCTGGGGGTGTCTCTGCGTGTGGGGGAGACGCTGGGGGGGCTCCTAGGGAGCATTAATCCAGAATCCCCATGGCCTTGGTGCCACTCCCACTGTGTCCCCTCCCCTGAATTCACCAGGCCTTGTGGCTGGACGACTCGGGGCTTGGGGGCGGGGCTGAAGGGCCTGGGCCTGCCCCCTGCCACCCTGCATGCCTGTGTGCCTCTGGGGGACACTCTGGGTCTGCCTGTTCTTGTCTGGGATAAAACAGCACCCCCTCATGGGCTTGCTGTGAGGATTAAATGAGTTCATATATACAAACGGGTTAGCCCAGCACCTGGTGATAGTGAGTGGGCATCAAATTCAACCTCTCCCATTGGGAAAGGTCCCCTCTTCTCCCTGGAGTCTGACATGACACAGGAGCCACCTGAGCAAATGCTGCCTCAGCATCGGGTGACCTCATCCCTGTCCCCTCCTTTCCGCACCCCTCCCCCACCAACCATCGAGAACCACACACACATAAGAATATAGAATTTTATCTTATTTTAATTAACAAAAATAATTGTACCACCAAATGAAGAAGTTGGTTTTTTGGGGGTGAGAAGGGAGGAAAAAAATAAAAAGCAATATGCCCAAAGGAAAAGACCTATTTATGTTCATCTGTATAAACATATCTGCTAAGGCAAATGCAATCCAGGGCCATGGCATCTGCACTGAGGTCAGTACCTCCTACACTTTGCAGATTCTAAGGCCAAAAAAATAAAACCTCTGAAAGCCCAACGGGAGTCTCAGGGACTCTTGGGGCATTTGACAAAAATAGTTATCGAGTTTAAAAAGCAGTGACACTGTCATGACACACAATGAAAGTTGCATAAGTGTGGCCTCGATGGCCACTCACTTGTTTGGACTGGGTGACGGGCACAGTTTCACGACACAGCAAGACACAGACACACACAATCATGCACACATGTGAGTGAGAACATCGGGAGATGCGTGGGACCAGGCCAGTGGCATGGGCGTGGCTGAGGCCAGTCTGGAGATGGGCTCAGGGTGGGCTGGGGTCCCCATGCTTCCTCAGGGGGTGGGTGTGATAGGATAGGTCCCATCACTGGTGACCAGGCAGTGGACATCACTGGGGGAAGGAAGGCGTGAAAGGGCCAAGCGAGGACCCCTGCTCTCCACTGTCTGGTCCATGCAAAGCACTTAAAGCACTTCTTGGATGACTCCTGGAGAATGGAGATGGGCACTGGTTTCCTTCCCTATGAAGGGCCAGTCTCTCTACACACCCTGCTCTCTCCAGAGCCCCTGGGACCCTCAGGTTGTTCTGGGGATTAATAGGGAGTGGTGTTTCTGCCCCCAGAGCCTTCCCTGCCCATGGTCCATGGCATGGGTGGCAGAGTGTGAGCCCATGAGGTAGATTGGCACAGCTGCCCCTTCACCCTGCCTGGCTGGGCCCAGAGAGCTGGGGTCCACAAGTCAGCATGGGGCACTGGGCCCTGGGTCCCTTTGCCAAGATGGAGGCCTGCCACCTTGACTTCAGCAGAGGGGAGGCAGGGCTGGAGGAATAGGTGCTGGGGGTGGGAGCCCTTGTGCCTCTGATCGGCTCCTTAGGTCCAGCTCTATGGAGCTGGCCAAAATTCCTGCCATCTGTCGCTCCCCCAGTCTAGGAAGGGGCTCAGAGGGCCCCAGGGGCAGTGCAGCCTGCTGGTTAAGGGCAGGTGGCCTCTGGGCGGGAGATGAGGTGAAAAGGGAGAGGCACAGGGAAGGCGAGGGGTGTGGGGGGGGATGGCATATGGGGCAGGGACTGACCTAGATTCAGGAGCCAGGCTTGGAGCAGCAAGCTGCACTGGAGCAGGCAGCGGGGCAGCCAGGGGTGCGAGAGACACAGGAATCACCAGGGAGGGCTGGGCCAGGTAGGGAACCACTGCTGGTGTCACAGCCTCAGGAACAGCAGAAAGGAGCAGGGAGAGCCAGACCACCTCTCTGAGACCCCTTGTTACTTGACATATACACAGGTTCTTTACCCACTACACAAGAGGGGCCAAATACAAACTGGAATGCCAGACTTGTGGCAAGGAAAGGGTGTTTGTTTCACATGATGCCAGCTGGGAGACAAGAGTGAGCCCTCACATTCACCCCATCTCCCTGAAAGATGGGAGGCAAGGGGTTTTAAAGGTTCTGAGGAATGTGGCTGCTTGTAGTGAGGGGGAGCCTGTGGCCTTGTGGGTTGGCACTTTCCCACCAGCCTGCATTTGGCCTTATGAGGCTACTTGCAGGGAGGAGGATGGTCAGATAAGGGAATGCACTGGTAGGTGTCTGTGGTTGTCTGCCTCCATGACGTGTAGTGAATCCTGGTGCCAGGAAGGCAAGGAGTTGAGGTCTGGGAAGCTTTAGCTTCTCAGTATTCTCTGGATATCAGTTTCCCTGTAATAAAACTTCAAAAGCCCATAACTAGCCAAAACTTCAGTGTAAGCCCAGTGTGAGGCCACCTTGGCTTTTAACAATTTGTAACTTCTGTTTGCCTCATGAAGTTCAGGGATACAAAGGCTTAAAAAACCAATAATTACATATGAATGCAACTTAGAGAAACAGGGAAAGGGAATGAGTGCTTTTGGTTTTCACCTCCCATATGCTGGGTTTAATGGAGGGGAACTGATATCAGGGCTGGCATCAATTCCCCCCTATTTTATGTTCATTCCTCAGTCTTGAGGGATTGGGGACAATGACTGATCTACCTACTTCCTGCTGAATCAGGGTGTAGATCTGGTTTAGAGGAATGAATCTGCTTTGCACTTATTTGGAAAATTTTTTTTGTTCCTAGCTTTAGGTTGACATTTTGCGTCATTAGAACTTTTGTACCTTGTTTAACAGTTTGGAACAACATTTCAAGGTACATTAAGTATCTGACCAGAAGGATAAGAAGTATAGACAACCCAAATTTTAACAGTCAATGAAAAATAGACTTAATCCTTTGGGGAATCCAAGAAAATAGTCCTGAAAGCCAGTCTGTGCCTGGTACCTCTAGGGATACCTGCTAATAAGGGGCATAGGTTGTTCCATCTCATTGATCCAGTCTCTTAGTAAGGTGGTGATGCAGGTGGGCTCCCAAAGTTAGGCCTATATTGTGTATGTAACAAGGTATTTAATAAGAATATTTTTAGATAAACAAAAAGACAAAAGCAAGGGTAATGGTTGGAGCAAATTATAAATTAGTTCCTGAGCCCAGGGGGCAGTCAATCAAGATTTTTAGAAGTCAGAGTCAGAGCATCTTTTGCAATTTGAAGTGTCTCTGATGGTGTCATCTGGCGCTCAGGTAGCTTTCTGAGTAGCTTCCATAGCAATAGGCATGATGATTGTTTAAATATAGACTATCCTGGTGCACTCTCTGAGGTTTATATCAAGTTTTCCAGCTTCAGTTTTCAGGAAAAAGGGCAGTTTCAGTTTTCAATGATTCCAAATGAAAATGATGGAAAAAAGGGAAAACGTTAGTTTGGAGATTTCTACCAGACATGTCAGGAAACTAGAAGAATTCAGGATCCAGTCCAGTTTACAGGTAGAAGACAAAAACCCAAAGACAATTAACAGAACTAAAATCTAACATCCACAAATGTGTATTGTAGTTTCTATTGAAACATCACTTTTCTCTGTATAATCACTCTCATTTTTTACCAAAGATAGCCAAATTAAGACTCATTGGTTTGTAAAGTAAGTCTAGTTTCAATAAACTTGGCCCAATTATTTACATAAGTACAGCAAGAATAGTAGTTCATCATATAGCCTCTTTGAAATCTGCTTTGCTGAAACTTTTTATAAGGAATCTCAGATTGAACTTTAAAGGCCTCTCGAGGCCAAGAAAGCCAGACCAAGGGTTTGTCATCAGACTCTGCCTGCAATACCTACAGATTTGGTTGAATTTCTCTCTTCTTTTGGGGTTCCCCAAAATATTGAGGTTTTTTGCACTTGCCAGATAAGTGACCTTCGTTACTTGCCCAGTAAGGTTGCTGTTCAGAACGATGTAAACAAGCTACCAGGCCAATATTTTCCAGTGGATTTATTCCATAAAGTCCAATCTTTGTCTCATGTTTTATTCTTTATTTTCTCTAGTACTTTAGGAGAAATTTATCTTTTTTTAACAAAACAAACAAAAATATTTCCATTATTTATACCTTTTTTACTGAAATCATATAGTTTATACAAACTTTTTAGAAATATGTGCTTTCTCATAGAAAATTTCTAAGCATGTACAAAACATGTTTATCAATAAACTTAAGCATCTTTTAGTTTCTCTGAGATAAGAAACCAAAGATCGAGAAGTCTGTGCCCAATAATCAATTTTCATATTTTTTCTTGTTTGGAAAATGACCTAGATACTCAATAAGTTTCTATTATTTAACTTAATTTAGCAAAACTCTAAAGTTTTAAGTTACCAAAAATATTTTGGAAGCTATTTTTTAAGCATATATATATATACACCGAACATAATTATTGTACCCAGGCACACAAAAACTCTTATCCATTTTTATTTGTCTAAATCATTTATTTCCAATAATTACATTTAGGTTACTTACAAAAATTTTTTATGATAATAAAGCAGTTTTTTTAAGTACATACACCATAATGCATAATTATTGTTAAAAACTGTCTCCAAAAACTTTTATCCTTTTTCATATCTATGTAGCTTACCTGTCCTCAACAATTATATTTAGATTGTCCACAAAAATCTCATGAGACATCTAACAAAATCAGCTATTATTCTATGTTATTTTGCTGACAAATTTTGTAACAGAGAGAACATGTCTGCATTATATCCAATGTTGATAACTCTGAAAACATGCCTATTTTAAATCAAACCAGCAAACTTAAACAGGCTTTCATTTACCAAAGATCATTTTATATCATGTTCAATAACTTTGTCTTTTAGAAGTTTCTGCATATTAATCCAAGACTGCATTCCATTATGAGAGGTTTTGAATCCTCTCTTTTAAGGGTGATCCTTAAGGTGGACTCATCTGAAACAGAGGTTTCCAGGATGGTCATTACAATTCCAAATTATCTCAAAAGTTTACTTATTTTCACTTGCTTAATTTTAGATTAGGAATTTTGGGGGGTTGAAGTAGGGAAGCATAGCAAGAGAGGAGAGAGGAGTAGCAGATTTGGTGTCAGCTACCGGCATGGTTAATTATTTAACTATTTTCTTTTTAAGAGGCGGTAAAGTATTCCTCATTTTCCTTAGAAGCCTCAAAAAATTAAAATAGGCCCTTCGTTGGTTGTTTAACTTTGTAGCTAGCCTTTTCCAATGCATAAATACACCAGTTTGGGTAAACTGAAATTGCCCCATTTGGGCCATTTTAAAGTGAGATCTCCTTTAGCATGTTTAATTAACAGTGCCCGAAGAGTGGATTTGTATGCTCTTACAATATCAGGGAAGGGAAACATTCCCCAGTGAGACATAATGTTTATCCCTATAACATAATCTATAATACAATCAGGCAGAAATGCAATTACTTTACGTAAAGCCCATTTAAATACACTAATTTTTACAAAATTTTATCAACTCTTATACCTATAATTGTAACTTATATTAGAATTTCATTGACAAGTTTTGGTATTATAGTACTGTGTAGGGGAAGCATTCCCAGGCAGACATAACATTTATTTCCAAAAAAACATTCAGACAAAGTTGACATAACATCTTC